CCTGCGGCCCGCCCTGACCCGCCGGCATCCGCCGGCCTCCCGAGACCGCCCTCTCCGGGCCTGGACAGCAGTCCTTCCGCATCTTCCAAGCCTTGATGAGCCAGGCTCAGCTCGAGGCCTTGGGGCGTTTCCGTGGTGATTTCTGCAGACCTTCCCACACTGAACGACAGCTCGCACGTACTCGCCATCCTCTCCGCAAGCCCCTCCGTTTGCTTCTGATACGGTCTGTAAAGTCCCTGCAGCCCTCCAGCACCGCTGTCAGCCCTGCAGGACCATGTGCTCCCCGCAAGTGCAGAATCATTTGTAACTTAATTGTGGCATTCCTTCCGTCCCATCCGCCGTATCACCACTTCTATAATGACACGTTTCCAGCACTTTCAGAAGGACCACAAGAATGTAGTCACTTGCCTAGATACTGCTACAGTGTGTCCTACAGCCCTAAACATCCAAAAATTCTGTTCCTTTTTTTTTTTTTTTTTTTTTTATCCCCACAGTCCTGGATAGATTAGAGATTCTTCTCGAAACTGATAGACATGCTTCATAACTCTCTCATTGCATCCACCATGTGCCAATTTAAGCAACTGAAATGAAAAAATGCCCTTAATTCCTCTTTCTGATGCTTTCCTTTCCCTAAATCTTCAGTTTCCCCTGTAGCCTGTTACATTTCATGTGCCCTTTTAGAGACCTCTGGGAACTCTAAGGTTCTTCTGCAAAGCCCCCATATATTCCTTCCTCTGCAGATACTCCCTAACTTTAGTGAAGTAATGAACTTGCTAAATTGGATAAGAGATAGATAAACTGGGACAGGAAGAAGTGCTGTCTTACCTCCTTTGAGAAATGCCACAGTAGTGCCTAGTCTGGCACGATCTTGATATCCTGTGGAAAGAAGTATCAGACTTCCTAACTAGCTCCTATGCCCTGCGTGCTAATGGAGGACTGTCTTACTAACACCTAAGTAACTGTAAAAGGCCCAAACTGTCTCAACACAAATGCAACAGTTGCTAAAATAAGTTTGCTGAAGTCATCTCATAACCCCTGATAATGTTCATAAACCACTTTTAACCCTCTAGCTTTCTGTATAATGTGTCCACATTCTGGGAATGGTGTGATTAAGGACTAATGTTTAAATTAGATGTGGTATTTAGCTAAAATAGCATTTGTAGGACTATTTTGTATGGTAGCAAGCAATGTGAAGGCTCACTGAAGTAGCTTGGATTTGTGCTCTCTGTTTGGTAGGTTACTTAGGGCAACATTCTAAGTACTGTGCTTTTTAAAATAGTGTATTTATTTTAGTTTATTTATAAAACACAGTATAATTTGCCAGGTATTCCATTGTACTTTATTAGTAATTCAATACTGTCATAAAAAATGAAGCCACTTTTATTTAACAGCTAAACAGTAAATTGTGCATAGGAGCTAAAACTGTATGCAGGTACATCTGTTCAATTTTTCACGGGCTGTGTGCACTGAATTATCAAGTGCCCTGTTAATACTGTAAAAATGTGCCTCCAATAAGATAAGTTTGTAACACAGTTTAATTTTTTTAGGTATCTAAAGGAATTTAGGACAGAGCAGTGCCCCCTATTTTTGCAGCACAAGTGTACCCAGCACAGACCATTTACCTGTTTTCATTGGCATTTCCTAAATCAGCGTCGTCGTAGACCTATACGAAGGCATGATGGGACTTTTAACTACAGTCCAGATGTTTATTGTACAAAATATGATGAGACTACAGGAATCTGCCCAGATGGAGATGAGTAAGTGATTTCTTTCAGTCCTAGGTGTTTATAGTATTATCAACGACATTAAGGAAAGATGCTAATTTCTCCTTAGTGAAAATGATCAATAGAATCCTGCTGGAGTTTGTTTGAAAACAGATTTCTATAAGTGATTTCTCAATTTTTCGCACATATACTTTTATATAAGCATGTGTTCTTTAGGCTATCATAGAGTTAGAACTATGATTTTGCACTGTGACGGTCTTTAAAACACCACATGAGAAACTGTTTTTCTGCTAGTATTGTTCCCTGCACATCTGTGCTAGTGTTGTTGCTGCACCTTTTCAGTTGTGATTCCTTTTTCTCCTGGTAACTTTGAAATTGACCAGTAGGTGCAAACCATACTGTATAGAGGTGGCTTCAAGACTTTAAACCCTGTAAGTTTTGTGAAGATTGATGGGAGAGTAGAGGGGAATGACTGTTTCATGATGCTTGCAGTGAGAAAAAGCAAAGGAAGGAGCTCACTGTTAGCTAGCCTGTTGGTGTTTGCATTTCGATGGACATGTGTCTCCTCTAGATAAAGGCTACAGAGGGTCTTCAGTGATCTAGAGGAGTGGTACAAGCTTTGTGGAGATGACACAGTGTGTCAGGGAGGCATATACAGAGGAGCTGGGTATATTGTGGCCATGTGTCTGAGGGGCTAACTTCATCTGTGGTGATGAAAGCAAGGAAGGACTTCTGACAAAAAAAAAAAGCAGGAAAACAGCCAGGAAATATGTAGTTATGCTGGTCAGCTGTTTTAAAAATTGAGGATTAATTATTTTGTTTTCTGTAGTGTATAGCAGCACTTGACACGGATCAAATATCTTTTCTGTTATAGGCTGTAGTCACAGAAGGGAAAGGTGGATTTTTCACAGAGGCTTTACAAACTACATGACGGAGATAAGAGAAGGTAAACAACAAAAATGCACTAGGCAGCGTGACAATATTGAGTGTTGTGCCCAAGCAGTATAAACAGCGAAAAAGTCTCTGAGGGATGCCTTAAAAGAGAACAATTAATTACCTTTTCAGGCATTTGTAAAGCATTCCGGCCAGTCCTGGGGCATCATGGGCAGTTCTTTGAAAATCAAGAAGCAAGGATAATGGATGCTCATGTCATGGATTGGTTGGGGACACAAGTTGACCTTTCATTATGGAGTGATAGATACTGATTCTAAAGGAGGGAAAAGGAAGCAATGTTTTAGAGGGGTATTAGCTGGGCAAGATTGAGTTGTTAGAAGCAAATCGGAGGAGATGTTGCAATAACTGAGATGTGAGATGGAAACCTTTTTTCTGCAATTGGATTGGAAAGTTGTCTCCTGCAGTTGCTGAAGATTACTGCCTGGTTACGAGCCTAAGTGACAGACAAGGTGATTGGATTGTTTGGCATAGTGGAAGCGCAGAGGACTTGCAAGAAATAAGACCAGTGGTGAGATTCATGCCTTTGTTTTAGCATGTTGTGCTTACAGTTTGAATTAAGTGGATGGGTTTAGGAGTTATCAGCAAAGAGGTGGTGGTTTTCAAGTTTATGTTTTGCAGTGAAATTGCCCAGGTGTAGAAGGATAAGAGCAGGGACAAAAGTCAGAGTCCTGTGAGACCCCACAGCAGAGGCATAAGAGAGTGTTGAAGTTGGAAGACGTGCTGCAGGAGGGACTGAGAGGAAAATGTGAACGTGACTGAATTCCCATAAAGAAGGGAGAACAATGTTTCAAAGGGAGAAAAAAATTAGTAACGCAGACGGTAAATTAGGAAGATGAAGGTAGATGTGAACAGAGAAAATGGAGTGTTTTTTGTTTGACTCAGTTGTAAGGTGAGATTATTGGAGACATTTGTGAGAGAAGTTTCAGCTGAACTGTGGAGTCTTTGTTTTAGATCCGATCCCGAGAACTGGTGGCTAGAAATGTTAGTCAACTATTGTAAATTGGTAGCTGACCGAAGTAGAAGAGAAGAGGCATGCAGGGTAAGTAGCTGGGAAAGGCAAGAGAAGTCAAAGGTAACTTTCTTAAACATAGATGACGCCAGGGCGTGTCTGTAGGAGAACACCAACGTTTCTGCGGACATGCTTACAGTGTGGCAGCATTTCTGTTTCACAACTCAGCAAAATAGTATTTTTTGACCCTGTTTTGTCTTCTGCCTAAAATGTAGCCTTTTATTTGGAGCAACTTCAGATTCTTATAGAAATAGGTTATAAACAGTGGTGCAAGGACACTTTCCTTTTAAGCTGTCTGTGACAACTTATTGGCACTTTTTTGGCTTTTATCTGTGTCTTTCTGTTCTGCTTATCTGAATACACGGTTAGGTTAGTGCACTTTGCAAGTTGATAGAGAGCTAGCGAGAAAGGTGGAGTGCTGACACCCACAATTGTTCTCAGGAACATACTTTCAAGAGAGTTAAAGTAGAAATTGTTGGTTTCACCCAGGCTTGACTGTGATATTTCTTTCCAAAGGTCAACTCTGATTGAAAGGAAGCCCAAAATTTTAAAGCTGTTTAGAAAAAGGCTTTTGTAAGTGTAGCAAATTAAAACAATCTGTTCTAAGGAAGGGCCTGATGAGAAAGACTAGATTTCTTGCAGAGTAAGAGGCATAGATTTTGAGATGTGAATAGTGTTCCTACCAATTTTACAAGTGAGGATAGAAGTGATACTTTTTTTTTCTTTTTTATCTGATGTATTTTTCAACTATTGTAGTCAACTGATGTCAAATGCTAAAAGAGAAGATGATTTTGGATATGTTAGTATTTGTAACGTAAGACTACTCTAAGAGTGAATGAATTAGAGAAGCCTACCACAGCAGAGCACTTCAAGTAATCATAGGAAAAAATATGTCAGTGCCTCAGGGTTGAACAGAAGTAAACTATGCAGTGGTTTTCATACCCTTAAGAATATCTAGCACTACCCTTTAAACTGGAACTGTTTTATTAAAGGATATCTTTGGAATGTTTATGATGTGAATGAATAAAAGTGTGAAAAGGAAATACACATTTCAGAAATCCGTTAACCTTTAAAGTTTTTGTGAATGTACATTCTGTTTCATGGTGTGTGCATCCGCTTACTTTGGATATTGTAGTGGCAGTTTTACTTTGTGAGATCTGTATGTAGAAAACAAAGCTATTTTCAGTAGTTAAATTGTTGTGCGTAGACTCCAATAAAACGTTACAGAGTAATGTTCTTTACTGATTTGCGATTACTAAGGATTCAATACAGTTATTTTAGGCTGGGAGATGGCTGTAGAAATATGGGCTATGAAATAGATTTGTTATTCTGTCTGGGAGCAACTTTTTTTTTTTTTTCTTTTAAATAAAAACTTTGTTCCTAAGGAATAAGTGATGTCTGAACAGCCTTAGTACCAAACTATGGTACATAAGACAAGTTTATGAGTTTGCAACTGTGTAATCTGATGATAATTGAAATCAGCCATTTTAAATCAAAATACTAGTCTTGTTTAAAGCTATATATGACAATGGTTTATACACCATTAAAATATTTCATTAATAAAGTGAAGGTAAGATCTAACATCCATCTGGTTCATTACAGGTTGAGTAGAACATCTGTTCTGTGCATATTTCAGTGTATTGGCTAGTTTGATACTACGTGTGAATAAATATTACCCTCTGTCTAAAAGCTGCTTTTATTAGGGGCTTTTGCCTTTCTGACTAAGGATCCTACAATGAACTTCAGCTGATCAAGATGTCTGTGGTTAATAGTGTATGTATTATTGTGGTATTGTATGAATAACACGTTTTCTATGTAAAACATACACATGCAGAATTGATGGCATTGTTTTTGCCCTTTGAGGTTTGCATGCTATTTAGTCTCCATGAGTCACCTTTAGACCTAGCCCTTATCTAGTTCTTTACAAGCGTTAGACAAAATTCAGGTAACGAACTGTTCCAGTCTCACTGGATAGCCTCATTAAAGCATTCTGTTAGTTTCTGGAGGAGGACTTCACCCATTATGGGATTCTTTAGGCAGCTAACAAAATGTGCAGTAGGACAGCTGTGTTTTCGATAAAATTCAGATTTCATTAGCTATTTATGGCAGAACTATTGAGTCTTAGGGCAAACAAACCTAGGTTTAATTTAGCAGAAGTAGGAGTCTTGTGACACAGTGTATATTTCTTCCCAGCTTGTTTTTGGAATCCGTGTTGTCTTTTTGTGGGAAAAATTGTGGCCTGAGTATTTCTCCCTCTCTCACATTGCATGCAACAAGTTGTGCCTAGCTTGTCTAGCAAGCTATGTCTATATTCCATGGATTTTTTTTTCAGACAGTAATTTTAAAATAATTGAATGCTTTAACATTTTTTGTGGGACCTCCGCTGATAAGGTGATTTTGCTGGGGAAGAACTGCAGATATTTAAGCAAAGATGTTTGCCCTCCGATACGGAGCCATGGACTTAGAGACAAGCAATGAGATGTAAACAGCTGTATGCTTCTTGCATGGAAGATAAGACATTTAATTCTTGTTTCCATCAGGAATGAGCAAACATAAGTAGATGAAAATGGAGACGTGAACATTATGCATGAGAATACGACAGAGTATTCTCTCTCACCTTTGTGAGGTGTGCATGTATGAGTGAGAGATTAGAGCTTGTAACGAACTGTCTGCTGTGAAAACGGAAACAGTTGACCCCTGCAAAGATTCTGCTAGTGATGGGACAGTTAGCAATAACAAAAATACAGCCCCAGACTGAATTTCCTCTTGTTTAGAGTTCTGTACAGGACTAGTGCTAGCAAAAGTATCTGGTTGACTCTTGCGGGTTTTCTGATTTTTCCATACCAGCAGCAATTCCAGCAGAACAGGAGGGCTGCATCAGTGCCATTCCTGCGTCACAAAGAAATTCTCATGAAGTTCAGCTGGGGCACTGTAATGGGTCCAACAAATTGCGTCCTGTCTTTCCATGCAGAGCCGTGAAGTGTGAAAGAACTACTTTCAGATTCGGAGTGCATCTCTGTCTTACACTGACAAAATGAGATGTAGCACTGAATTTTGGTATACCTAGTCTTCCCAAAAATTAATTCTGTTGGGATTTAAAGACATAGGCACAAATTACTAGCTGCAGCCCTTTTATCTTGTTTAACAGAATGCTGGTTTTAAGTTCATACAAGGAAGCGACTTGATTCTCAGAAGTCATAAACAGTATCAGTTCCTGGAAGTCAGCACAAGCTGCAGGTGTTTAGCACAGCAGAAAAAATGTATGATTTTGACATAAATATATAAATACCAGACTTGTAAATGTTTGCAAACAATTGCATTTATTTAGTCTAGTTTCTAAATAACCTTTTTAGAATATAGTAAATAAAGCTTAAGCCAGCATAAATTCTTATGAGTGTTAAAACCTACTTAGTGCTTCACTGTTTTCCCTCCATTCAAAGTAAAATATTTCTGTGGGACTTTTCATTTGTAATTCTGTATCACTCTCTAAGCTTTTTGGTGCGGTTTCTTTTTACTTTGGGATGGGGGGTAAAGTATTTTTTGGAGACTAGTATTTTCTCAAAAAGAGCAGAGACCAAAATTATGGTGAAATAAACTGTGAGAGAACAGGCATCCCTGTGTATATACTTTTGTGAGTTTTTAAAAATTGTTTACTATTGGTAGTTGGAATTATTATTCATACATGATGCTAGCCATTTTAAAATACAGACCTTAACTCACGTTGTTGTGTCTGAAAAATGATTAGTATATGTACAAAGATGTATTGCTGAAGTAAATATTGCTCTCTTCCTTTTAATAGACGAGTGATTTTAGATTTCCCCTGGGATTGTTCAGTAAGTTTAATGTCTAAAAAGAGCAGGCAGGAAAACAAAAAATCACTGTGCTTCAAGTACCCCTTGATTTTAGATGTTGATAACATTTAAAAAAAAAATTTGTCTCTTAGCATAGTAATGATTTGAACTATGTATCAGTATGGAAGATGTCATTCCTTAGTTCTGATGATGTTGTTGCTTACAGGTGTGCTTACTAGATTTATTAATAATATCTTTGTGAGCCAGCCTGCTATGAATTCTTATAACCTTGGCAGAGACTAAGAAATAGATCAGTGTTTTTCATTTTGAAGCTGATCTGTGATGGTGGTTTGTTTGGGACAATTTTTGTTTGAAGAATCCTGCGAAGTTACTTGTTACGAGTTAATAAGAGATGTAGTGTAATTCAGAGTTAAATTATGAAAAACAAAACTCAAAGCAATGGTCTAACTTTCCTCTTTCTATTATGTAGTTGTCCTTACCTGCATCGAACAACAGGGGATACAGAAAGGAAGTATCATCTGAGATATTACAAGACTGGAACATGCATTCATGAAACAGATGCCCGGGGTCATTGTGTGAAGAATGGAATTCACTGTGCCTTTGCTCATGGTCCACATGACCTTAGACCACCAGTATATGATATAAGGTAGTCTTGTTTCAAATTCTTCAGCCTAATTTGCAGGAAATAGCACATATCTGTTCTTACCGCATACCGGAAAATGCAGTATGCTTTGCATGAAAAATATGCTTGCTCTGTAACTGTAAATGTAAAAAGACAATTCACTGCATCACAATAGCAGCTAGAAGCACAGTGGGAAATACAAATACTAAAGTTTTGTAACTTGCAATTTTAAGAGTAATTCAACTTGCAATTTCATATGTAATTCTTATGACTGATAAAAGACCAGATACTCTGCCTTTTGTTACTTGTGCCTTGTAAATTTGCATGTGGTTTTTACATTCACAAATTTATGATTTTGTTAAGCCATCTTTCAGGTTCTCAGCTTGTGTGTTTGACATTTTGCTTACTGACGTTGAGGTTTTTTAAATTATGTTACATTTTTTCATGTATCAGTATTATTTTCTGCATCTCTAATGTATAATCAAGTTATTGTCAAAAGAAGGTGCTTCGTGAATCAGGGTAGTGGTGGTAGGTATAAGTTTTAGCTGCGGCCAAAGCTGGGAAACAAGTTGGGAGGTATTATAAATGGGTGGAAGGGGAGCTCTTGCTACAGAAAATGGTCTGTGCATATTCAATAGGAGAGGATACCAATTCCTGGAGAACTTTGAAGTCTTGGAGGGTCACAAGTATCTCTTAGTGGACACTGGAAGAGCACTCTGGGGAAGTATCACTATATGCTTGCCCTGTCCTTACACTCTTCCCTAGGCATGTGCTATTGGCCACTGTTGGAGACAGGATTCGCGGCTAGATGAACCGTTAATCTGAGCTGGTGTGGCTGCTGTTTTACATTCTTACATTTGTTATCCCGTATTCCTAGCCATCTGTTGGGAGATGATAATTCTCTCTTCACAATAATTTTAGTAAAGTTAGTACCTTTTCAGTAATTTCGTAATTATTTAAATTCGTATTTTGCTACAGAATTCAGTGCTGCATTGCCTGGTCCCATACTGTTTAGTTATATATAGCTTTTCTTTCCAGAAGACTTTATTCAATTAGCTAGCTGATGCTTCTTCTACAAGATATCTGTCCATTTTCTTTTTCTTCTTTTTAACCTTCCTCATTTAGGATATGCAGCATGATGCCAGATCAGTCTGAATACAGAATGCTTAGTACCTTTGTAATCTTTTGTATTGTATTAGAATGAGGAACTGAATATATAGCAAGACTGAAACCAAGCTCCATTCTCTAAATATCTTTTAATGTGTTACGTGATTGTTTATTGGTGATTGGCTACGTATAGAGCATCAGGAGGAGCTGAAGACATCTGTGGTGGGAGTCTATGTTCAACCTACAAGTAGGCTGCCTGAAACTTCTTTGGTGTCTGTGAAAAACAGTCATGTGCCATTGCTTCTCCTGATTTCAGGCATCCAGCATTCATAAGGAAGTCCAAACAATCAGGTCTTATTTTTCCTTCAGTGGTGTCTTTGCTCTACGATGAACACAGATATTAGGGTTTCTTCATTTTAAGTGAAGAGAAGGGAAATAACAGAATCGCTAATGCAGATGTTAGCTTTATTCCCCTTAATAGCCTTGTTCTTGTGTATATCCACCTTAAAGAAAAAGCACTGTCTTGGAACTATTTGTTTCCTTCTCATTGCCTGCACCTTTTCTGAATCTGTAGAAGAAGTATTTTGACTGTTTGAAAGGTTCTAGACTTGGCTTGCTGTCTGTCTTGTCTTCCTTTCCCTTTGAGATCTTCTTTCTTGGAGGATACTCGGGGTCTGTGAAATTGTGAAATGATATGTAAATGACATCAATAACTAGTTACCTTATAAACCACCATACCTTTCAAACTCTTCAGGGATCCTGAGTAGGAGTATTTTGATATAGGAGGTAAACTCCTTGGATATTTGTGTCTAGAGAGAGCAGTGCCAATGGAAGGTAGGGGCCTTTGATTCACCTCTGGTATTTGATTTCTCATCTTGTTTCTCTATTGCTTCAAAGTCTGCCTGATATAATTAGGCTAGAGCATCTCTTTTTAAAAATCTTTTGTACTTATTTGCCATTGTTGAATCTCTGTACAGATTAATTTTACTAAAATGGTGTAATAAAATTGTCTCAGATTTTTGGTAGAAGTTTCATACCACTAGTAGAATACCCTTTAGTTTGGTAGTAGTCATTCTGATCTTTCAGCAAGCTTGTGGTTGTTTACTTGCAGAGCAGTTGTAAAGTCTTGCAGAAGAGATTCCTTTTACTCGTAATGATTGTCATTTGTTACTAGGTCTCCTGAATGTCTTGACAAATTTTTTTACAAAATCCTACAGTGAGCCAAAAGTTCTTTGGCTCCTTTTACATAGTATAGTATTCAATAGGTGTATTTTGTACCTTTCTTCAGTCATAACGTTTCCACGGCAAAGAGTCCTATGGTGTTTAATTCTCCCTCAGAGAGGAGGGGTCCTGTATCCTGTATTTCTGATTGCCCTTATTGCCCTTTCTATATCTTTTTTTAGTTCAACCGCGTTCTATGTGGCAGTGGAATATCGTAAATTCATAGCATATTCAAAATGTCAGCACACCAGCATACAGAGGTATAGATGCGCGTTGCTGGTAGAAACATTGTGTGCATAATGCCAGCATTCCTCTGTGTGTTTGCTTTGATTTGTATGACGTGGTTATTCCCTACGATTGTTTGCCGGCTTCAGTGTAAGTAATGGTTTGAAATACAGTCTTTTTTTTTTTTTTTTTTTTTTTTTTTTTTACAATTTAGGCTTGTTAAGAGCTGGATTCAATGACAGAATTTTGATAGACTTGAACAGTGTTATACCTCTGGCAGAGAGGGTTGCTGTAGCTATACAGTTTAGCAGTGTTATTTTCTTTTCCCCATTCCAGAGAACTTCAGGCACAGGAAACCTTACAGAATGGGCAGCTAGGATGTGGTGAAGGCATTCCAGATCTGCAGCCAGGAATTTTAGCAAGCCAGGCAATGATTGAGAAGATCCTTAGTGAAGATCCAAGATGGCAGGGTAACGTTACCCTGTCTCCCTTCTCATTTTCTTCATTGGTGTTTGATCCTGGGTCTTCAGCTGTGAGAAGTTCAAAAGCCTTTTATAACAGAGTAAAGAATTGGCTTATATAAGTAGTATGGATATTTGTGAACAAGTTGTACAGTCTGTCACATTTATATTCAGATTGGATTTTGAAAATGTTTTGTTTTGAAAACCTTTAATAGGTCTTTTTCAATTTGTTTGATACCAGTGCTGCTAATCCGTGTCAATTGAATAAATGTTCTTAAAGGTTAGCAGGAGCTCCGTCTTGTTCTAAGTAGTAGTAATGATTATAGTCTTCATTTTTTGAGTCATTTGTAGACTAGTTAATGGACCATTATTCTTTGCTGAGCTTGACTAACAGGAATGAAGTAGAATATTAAACAGAAAATTGGGGCAGAATATTAAAATACAAGAATGTCTTGAAAGCATTATATTAGAGCTCTTAAATCCAATTGCCGTAGTTTTCTTAAGACTTTCAAAGTTGTTTCTCATGTTCTTGTTTTAGACTTGCTTATTATGTAGCCAAAGATGTTAGCATCAATTGCATATTGTTAGAGCTCTTGCCCAAATTTTACTTTAGAAAAGACTGCCAGGTACAATTACTTCCACAAAATTCATGTGGGGACAGTAACACAGGAAGAGGTCACATGAAGATACTGTCTCTAAGAAATGCAAGGGGAGATAATTGTATGATACTTGTCCCCTTTGTCCCCTTTTTAAAAATTTACTATAGGATGAGTTCCAACCATTTAAGTAGTAATAATCTGTAGAATTTAGTTGCCAGCTCTAGATCAAAAAATATTGGATGTTTGACATAAAAAGACTATAAAATTGACCAACTTCAATCACTTTTATTGCATTCCTTGTGTTGTGACAGGTCTGTGTCATATAATGTTGCATGGCTTCTGTCAATCCCTATAAATATGGTGAGATTGCACATAATTTCTGGGGATTGAAAATCATCCAAGTAGTGATTTCAGCCTTATTTTTCCAAGTCTTTAATTAAACTATTGAAAAGGACTGAACAAAGAACAGACTCTGTGTGATACTCTGATTAATAATCTTTGCTATCTGAAAGTATACATTGTTAATGTATACTTTAAGAATGTTTCTTCAGCTAGTTTTCCACAAATCCTACAGGAGTCTTCTGGTACTGTGCAGTTCATTTCTGAGAACATCTCAGGCTAAAAGGTTTGCTGAAGTCAAGATACAGGATATTGGCTGCTACTGTTTTACCTACATCCATTTTCCTACCTTAGGAGGAAGTTAGATTGGTTTGTCATGATCTGCTCCTCACAAAACCATGCCTGCCATTAGCTAAATTGTACCTTCTAGTTTATTTACTTGCTCCATTGGTTTTTTGAATTTTTCTGTTTCTAGACAGAACCTTGTTTGTCATCTCCTAGTTCCTCGTTCCTGGAACCAATGATGTAGAGACAGAGGCAAAGGTAGAGAAGAGGGTCTAGAATATGTCCAGGAAGATTTTACTGGACAGCCTTGCTACGAAAGCAGTTTTGATGAAATAAGGACCTGTCAACACTAAACTTAAGAGAAATCCAGATATAAAATTGTATAAGTTTTCAGTGTTTGTCTTACTAGAATGAATAATGTATTTTCATTTCCAAAATGTTAAATGTATATGATGAGAATTTCCACATAGTTTCTCTACCAATAGATTGCTGGTGCTTTATTTGAGTACTTTATTGTAGTATTACTATTGAACGTAAAATCAGTGGAGAATGCTTTATATGTAAATCTGTTAGACATATTTTTAAAAGTGCAGAAGTCAGTGTAAGTTTATAAGAATGGAGGGGTGTGTGAGTCGTAGTTTTTTTACAAAAAGCAGTGTGATACCTAAGCTCACTAAAGACACTCTGAATGCAAAAGTTAGTTGTTTATTTCTCTTAATTGTTGACCTGTTTACAGACACAAATTTTGTATTAGCCGGCTACAAGACAGAACAATGTACCAAGCCACCCAGACTCTGCCGCCAGGGTTATGCATGTCCACACTATCACAATAGTCGAGATAGAAGACGAAATCCCAGAAAATTCAAATACAGGTACATAAATACATTTTAAGAATAGACCTTTTGGTCAGTCAGACAGTTGTTCATGGACTGATCTGTTTGAGTTCTTCTATAATGCAATCGGATATTCCTAATGGAATAAAACCACATCTTCCCCAGTAGCCTTGCTGAAATTTCTTTGGGGAAAAAAAGTATCTGTTCAGAATGATCAGACAGTTCTGAAGATAAAAACTATGAAGCTGTAACGGAAGTATCCTTCTTTCTTGTGAAGAATGAAAACAATTTCTATAATTCGTAGCAAAAATTGGAATCACTAGGTCAAACCTTCTTTGTTATGAGAAGAGCAATTATAATTTCTGTCTTTTTTTTCTGGTTTTGTTCTATGATTTTCCATTTCTGAGCCATATTTGTAGGACCAAAATTGAATGCATCTCCTCTCTCACTTTTCATTATTACATCATTCATCATTACATCATTTTACATCATTCTCGTACACTGTGGTTTCTTCGTTGTTTTTAGTGGTTTTTTTTGTGCAGTGATACAAGGTTTAGAATTGATCGGCTTTGCTTGACAGTCTCAGGACTGTGAATAAATGTAATTAGACAGAAGGTAGATAGAATCCTACTAGCTCATCTTTCTGTCAGAGAATTTCCAAAAAGTCAGAGTCTGTCAGAATTTGCAACTTTATAGGTCCCAGAATCTTAAGATTTTGAGATTTAGTGGGAAATTGTTTGAGATTTCTGCTAGGAAGTAGATACAAACATGCTCTGGACATCACATTTTTTCTAGGTCCACTCCTTGCCCCAGTGTAAAACACGCAGATGAATGGGGTGAACCATCAAGGTGTGAAAGTGGGGATAGCTGTCGATACTGTCATTCTCGTACAGAGCAGCAGTTTCATCCTGAGGTAAGAACCATGTTTCTATTTATTTTTAGCAATTTCAAATTTATTATGGATTAGATTATCGATTAAAGATACTATTTATGAAAAAACTTGTGACATTTCATTCAGCACTTCTAGTCATTGAGGTATTTGCTTAAGCAAAAGAAAATTTACTAAGAAATAGTTACTTCTATTGCAGTGGTTTTCACTGGTAGGAATTTTTATTTTGCTGCTTATGAATAATTAATTAATATTGTCTGGTTTGGGGCATAAATAAATGTGTTTTCTTTTTTACCTAACTTCTAGGACTGGTAATGAAGTCACAGTAGTAGTTGCTACTCAATAGCTTGGGACAATTCTCTATTCTAAGTATAGGTAAAAAGGCTTTACTTTATTTAATTATGAGAAACTGAATTGTCAGGTGGAAAGAGCAGAAGACTCTCCTAGTGGATGAAGTAAGACACTCCAGAAGAACAAGGTGATTTTAGATTTGTCTGTACATAAAGTCATAACTTTGTTGGATGCTTGAGTGGAACAGCGAAATGCTAGGGAAGAGAGCACTGCCTTGTGATGCTATGAAAATATTAAATGTGACAGAAGACGAAAACAAACATGACATGTTGTGCTTGAAGCTGTCTGTACAACACTGGATATCTGTTTTTGTTTTGGGACCTTTCAAAGGACATGAAGAAGTAGCAGCAGGACGTAATTTCTTGCATTAGAAAGTTCAATACTTGGTAAGGCATAAGCAAAGACCGTTCAACAATTGCTGATTTCTCTTCCAATTGTGAAGATTATTGAAGGCATCTCAAGAACATACTGGGAAAGGAATTCTTAGAGTACTGACTCCAGGATTGTTGCAAACTTCATATCATGCATTCCCTATCACAAGTTGACCAGCTACGTCTTTATACTAAGTAGGTGTCAGCTATCTCTGCTCTTGAGATGCTGCTCCAGAATTTCACCAGAGATTTTACAGTCCAGATTTCTTTCAGATCATCTAGTTTCTTCTGCATCATGTTGCAGCCCTTTTCTGTAGCAAAGGTGTCTTTCTGGTTAGTATTGCTACCATACTTTTCTTTATGACAATGCTATGAATGAAAGTGCTAAAAAAAGTCACAAGGCTGAGCCTTGAGTTCTGCTACTAATTTTGTCTGGTGCCTTCCTCTTTCATACCATCCATTGTCATCTCTCATTAGTCATTTTAACAGCAGATATGTAACATTGGTAAGAGTCATATTCTTTGTTATCTTAATGAATCTTACCACATCCTTTATTGAAGTCCTTACTAGAATGACCACATTTCCATTTTAGAGGAGGACCTTTGATTTATCAAAGTTATATGGTGAGTCTACCATGATGTGCCTTTGCCAAATGTACTTTTAATTTTATCCCATTTCTTTCTGTCTTTAATCTGAATGGTGACAGACAGGATAATAGTGGACATACAGTGCCATGAATTGGCTGTTTTTGCTCTTCTCAAACATACTTGAGCTATACTTAGTATACCCCAGTTATGTGTGCTACTTCTGATGTGATAGCTTTATTAAAAGTACTTGCTAACTGCGTCTGTCTTATTTGCCAGTTTTTTAAAAATTCTGACATGACAATTACTTAATTCATTTCCTGTTCCTGGACTGACGGTGGTTTGCTTTCACATCAGCTGTAGTCACCTCAGTCTTTGTCTGCATGTTTCCATTAGCTGTGCTGCTTTTGTTGTAGCATTGAACACAATTCCTACTGATAATCAAGGCAGTTTGGTGAGGATAGTGTTATCACCTTACCTAATTTAGGTCTAGTATGTAATTTCACAGAAGCTAGCAACATGCCTCCACTGAAAGAAGAGTTTTCGTTCAACGTCATACCCTGTGATCCTTTCCCTCCTTTGCTCCAGCTCTGACTTTCATCCAGTTTTGTGCTTAGAATGGAAATTCCATACAGCTTTTGTACCTCTGACTTGAGGATTCAAGAACTCGTTTTATTCATTTCATAATTAAATTCAGCCTATTTAGTGGTGGCAATCAGTTGCCTTAATTCCTCAGTCTCCTTATTTGTCACTAACATTAGTTCACCCTTACTTTTTGATGTCCTTTAAGTTGAATTACTACTCACTTTATCCAACATTATCTTCTCTTATTGGATGTTTTCATGTACTCATTCTTTATCAAATTCAAATAAAGAATATTGTCATTTCTTCTTATCTCAGTGACTGTTTTTTGAAGAAATCTCTTGGTTATCGCATTCAGGAGTAGCTTGATTCTACTGTTAACAGACAGCGGCTGTGTTCTTTCTTGTCTGTAGCTGGGAAGTTAGTCTTCTGTAGTGATTTAATTCTTTGAGTTTGCTGTCTGTCTTGTAATATTGGTATGTGTAGATGACATGGTCATCTCTGGATCCAGTCTTTGAGGTGCAAGCTCTGCCCTGATACTATTTTGATATCTGTATTATATCACTTCTTGTATCTGTAGCATTTACTAGAAGGCGCTCCGCACCATCTGCGTTGCTCATAGGATCCAGAAGGCTATTTTTTGTCTAGGAGCTCCAACTAAGACTGAACTTCCAATTGCATAATTTGTTTAAACCATTTGGAAGTCATGTCTTCTCATTTTTTTTCTTCTGCATCATTAGCATAATATATGCAGCATTGGGGATTTATATTTAACCAATAAACAGAGAACGGGAAAGAATGGAGGTGGGCCAAGCTTCATTTCCTAGTTCAGCTGTGGTATTCACAAATGAGTCCTTTGTTTTTTGCAGTGTCTCTGAGAGCTCCCAGTGAAGTCACTGGAAAGATCAGTCCTGCTATTTTGTTTGTTAAGTGTGTCATTTGGAGGAATACTTGTCTACAGCATGGATGTTCTGTTGCATTTTTTCAGTGTTCAAGGAAAAATAAATTATTTGTAGAGTGATAAGCATCAGTAATAATTTTGTGATTTTGCACTTTACTGCAGTTTCTTAGATGATCTTTGGATTATGCATGAACTAGTAGTGAATATAACAACTAAATTTTTAGCCTCATTTCAAAATCACTCTTGAATGGGAAATTTATCTAAGGTACTTTAAAAAGCTCTAAAATAAAGAGCTTATAGAACTAGTTCTTGCTCTTTTTTTAAATACATAGTTTCATTTTTTGTGTTTGCTCTAAGGCAGGCGCCCAAGATAAACATTTTTTTACACAGCATATGCAAAAGTGCCAAAGAAGTGGCCTTCTGAACTAAGAATTATCACTTACTGAGCCGTGAATCACTCAGCTGACACTGAAAGCCAAGGACCAGAGTGCCAGGTTTTGGGGAACCAAAAAGATCCTTCTGCAATTTGCACAGAGTTGCAAATCACCAGGAATAATTTTCTGAAGAATCTATGTGCTTTTCAGTAGGTTCTTAATGTTGTTCTAATATGATAGTGTGTCAGCCCCTCCTCCAAGCCTTGTGAGATCCCGAGATCATCAAGATCCTGGTAGAGCAATAAACTGAATCTGGATCTTACTAGCAACTTGTGTACTCATTACTATAATGAACATGTCAGTCCTTACACGCCCCGTCGGGTTAGAGAAGGAGATTTGAATGTTAGGATGATTTGAGTATTAGAGGTATCCTAATGAAGGAAGTGTATTGAAAAAAACATACTGGGTTGTTTTAGGTTTTTTTCCAGCTGTGTAAGCTGCTCTAGTAGATACATAATTTCTCTTGCAAAATTTCTTAAAAGTGGTGTAAATGACTTTGAGAATTTTATTCCTGATATTTGACTTGTTTCTATACAACATGGAAAACGAAAGCAGTTAAAACACTGCTTGTCTAAAATATTATTGTTACTTGCTATTTATTATTACACAGAAGAGGATTAAGATTCTCTTGTCTCGGGTTTGTTTTCTTAAAATTCTGCTCTTCTATTTGCTTTTTAAAAATTATCATAACTGAATTTTCTGAGAAAACTGTAATATATATTGTTAGTAAACATTCAGAATTTTTCATTTAAAGGTTTTTAAATTTTCTAAGTATTTTGTCATTACCTAACAAATATATTTAGGTTAACCATCTTTCTGTTTTGTTTAGATATATAAATCTACAAAGTGCAATGACATGCACCAAACGGGTTTCTGCCCACGTGGTCCATTTTGTGCGTTTGCACATGCTGAAAGTAAGTAAGAGAACTATTATTTTATATTGGTGTTCATAAAATTGAACCATCATTTCTAAGCATCAGTAACAGAACTGACAACATCATTAATTTTAATGTGTAAATGGCATTTGAGGTCACTGTTTTTAGAAGTTTATTCCATGTTTTCTAATACTGTACGTTGCTATGGGAGCTTGCTGTATTTGCATCAAATTTGCGTCAGCAGTTAAACAGGAGGTGCTTTTCTTTACAAATGCAGCTTGTTCCTGTAACTTTTTTAGCTTAATTTGGCAATTTTTTATGCACATGCTTGAGTATTTTAAATATATTAGCTGTCCTATCGAAACCTATAGTAAAATTCTCAGGTAAAAGTTAAATATCCTTGCAAGTATTTGCAGAACTAGGGCTGTAGCTAAACCGAAAAAGAACACGGAGAAAATAATGTCAGCTGTCCTCTTTCCTCCACAGTCCACTTACATCTTCACTGTACTCAGACTGTTACATACAGAAAAGGCAAGAGGGACTGTTTTTTTTCCACGATAGCACTCATTTCTTCATTAGGCATCTGCACAGATTAATTCTGGATGTGCATCGTCAGAGTCTTTTAAATAGTGCTGTCAACTTAGGTTACCCCTACACTTTCCTTACACTCTAGAATGTGAAACGTGCAGTTGCTGCAACTATTTATGCCTTCTTTTCAGTTGTGATGCAAGGCAGAAGGCAAAACTTGAAGCATTTCTGTGTAAGTGGTTTCATATAGGTGATAAATCTTTTTTTTTTTAAATGTAGTTTTTGCTTGTAATCAGTAAAGCCTCATATTCATTCTTCAAAAAAAAAAAAAAAAAAAGGTCTGCTCCTATCTTACTTTTTGCCTTCTGCTTCTAGAGCCGGAAAGAGGGATGAGTGACTACCAAATTTGGAAAACTCCAAATTTCTGCAATTCAGTAGTGTTTATCTTATGATTCTCTATCTTATGATCTCTAATGATAAGTAATGGCAGTCTCCTCTCTCAGTTTAACCTGTCTAGGCAAATGTGATGTTCTGTACAACAACTTACGGTGACATTTGCTTATCTAAGACACTTTTCAGTGTATAGAGTCATTCTTGCTGCCCACAGCTCTTGTTTCTGAGAATCTGTGGTATGGTCAGCTTGTCTTTTAACTTCATGGGATGATCGATTTTACTTTTCTGTCGTTTAGTTACTCAAAGAAGAGGAAGGATAAATAACCTCCTGTATTTGTTTCAAGAAGCTTGTTATTCTGAGACCTGGCAATCCTTCAAAACATTATGGCATTTGCTGATGTTATTCTCGCTAAGAGATATCTTTCTAATTTTTTGCTAAACCTTCTACCCCAGCCCCATTCTTTCTTCTACTCTGTAGGATGAATTATTGTACTCTTTAAAAATCTATAACACTGAGAGAATTCCAGAGACTTTGAACATGTTAGCAGTGCTAACTGAGAAGCAGCAGCTTAATTTTCTCCACGTAGTTGCATTACATAGAATTTTATGTCCATCAAAAGAGACTTATATGGCTCAACCAGCATGCTCTGGAACTCTTTGGCTTGCATCATCTGGAATGAACACTGTGTAAGCAGGAAATCTTGACAAATCAACTTGAAATGTTGCAACAGTACCCACCCCCTGTCTCTGGTAGTCTGAACAGTCCATCAGAAGTTAGACGTTTGGTTACTATCAGCAAGAGTGCCTTTCTGCTGTTGACAACAGCTTTAAGCTTAGTTCAGCAGCTCTGACATTCTGCCTCTGTCTGTAGAATAAAATGGTTTCTGTCCTTCCATATTAGTGAAGGGGGAGAGAATGGTTTCAGAGCTGTAGATCTTATTATCAGTATGAAAAGCAAGAAACTCTTTCATAATGGATCGCCTTGAATCACAAATTATGGATGTTCTCCACCTAACTTCAGTGAAGCCCTAGCTATGTGGAACAGGTGGAGGAAGATTTTTGACCATTCATACATGTATCTCAGCAATTTTTGTCATTCTATGTGAAATCATTTGTGGAAGGACACGTTCTCTATAATAGCGCCCCTGGTCTTCCCTCAATTGCTTCCTCAGAACCAGCTGACCATTTTTTTCCCTTTGCTCCCTCCTTTGTGAAGATCATGAGGAATATTACTATCCCTTCAAGACTGCTTTTCCCTTGAGGCCCTGTCTGCAGACAGTATTGTCTTATAAATGTCACTCATTGGTTCTTCCCTGCTCTGGCTGAAGCCATAGGTCCGAAAGACACTTTGTGATGACAGGAGGGAGGGCACCTGATCCTGAAAAGTAGAGAAGTAGTGGAATTTGCAAAGCAGAGAGTAGCTAGGATATGTTGGGACACTTCGGTAACAGACTCTCTTAAAATAATTAACATCTGCCTGTGGCACTCGTTTGTCCACTGGCTGTGTGACTACAACTGGCACCTTAACAAAAAGATATATTTTTTTTGAAACATAAACACAGGCAGACTGAAATTCGGCTGGCAAGAATTTGGAAACACTTCAAAGAACACATCTGTATAACAGCTTCTGTTACTGAAGGCATTTGCCTTCAGATTGTTTGTCCAAGACTGTTCTCTTCTATTGATGCCAAGATTGCAATAATGAAAAAGCTTACTTCTGGCCTTGTGAAACCCAGGATTGCCCGGACCAGGCCTAGCCTGACCATGGTAACTCTTACATTCATAATACCCAAACCTCGTTAGTGCAAATTCGAAGGAAGCTATATAGCTGAAAAAGTTGTACAACCCTTTTTCTACATAACATCCTAGGCTACTGATATGTAATCCCTGAAGCACCCCAGCACTGGCATTAGATAGTTGAAATTATTTTTCTCTGTGCTGATCTCCAGAAGCTTCAGTGATCACCATGAGACAGGCCACCATGTGAGATTTGCTTTTCTGTCAGTTACAACCTCCTACAACAGCTGTAGGTCTTTGAGAAAATATGGTTAGACTTGGGGAGGCTTACACTGTAGAATTTGTAACTTTTGTGCGGCTGGCCACAAACGATGACGTTCACTCTTGGAAGAGATTAGAATTATGTAAAAGCACACATTCTGAATTTAATATGTCTGTCTGACTTAATAAGCAGAATAGCAAAAACTAATCCTGCTATTCTCCCTAAATACCTTGGAAAGAGAAAGGAGAGATTATTTGGAATGTTTGGAGAGCAGTTTTATACTACCCTTTTAGGGTGTTATGACTACTTATACTCATTTACAGAATATTGGACAAGTATATAGTCAGGAAAAAAAAGCTATTGAAGATTTAAGAGAGAACATGCATCAGATAGTGCTTTTCCTATGACGGTGTGAGGGTTGACTGGACATAAGATGGCTGACGGGACTTGCTCTGGGCAAGCAGCTATACAATGAGATGATATGTAGTGAAAGTGAGAGTAAATTACAAAAAGTCAGCGCATCTGTTTCTGTCTTCCCAACTGTTCTTTGCACGCTCATTGTGTAGGAGGAACAGCAGAGGTCTAGTGACATCATCTTTGCAATCCCTATGGTTTCTTTTTCCTTCTCTTTTTTTTGGGGGTGTGGCTGGACTGGATTTATGTGTATCGTGGTACCTACTCGTTGCTTTTTCCTTTCTCTTTTGTGAGCCATGTCCCTATTTTTGTAATTGGAAATATTTGGTAAAGCATTGGACTCTATAGTCAGAAGACTGTGGAGTTTTGATAAGTCAAATGCTGGATAGAAAAACCCACATCATTGGAAAGAGTCCTCAGCTGCCATCTCCATTAAAGAGAGGTGCCTGCGTGTCTCATTCTGTTTCCTACTACAGATTGCAATTTCGTACACTCTACCAGAGCTACTTATAGTTTCTATTAGAGAGAAATATTTAAATTTTATTTTTAACTGTAGTTTATCATTACCCCTTCAGAAATGCAGTAGTCGCTAGAGATTAAAAAAATCTCACCATACCTTTAGAATTCTGTTTTCAGTTCTGACTTCCTTACTTTGATGTCTTGTGTGAATGGATTATGAGGTGAGGAATGTTTTTAACGGTAATTTCTTACTAAAGTAATTAACTCATTGTTTGCCTGTAAAACTAAAAGTCTACATCTCCTTGATATATTGCACTTTTCAAGAATCAAATGTCTAAGATTTTTAATACTTTAACAAAGTAACATTTGGGGAATATCAAAGGAATTTTTCAGTCACCTTGAGCTGAGTTTTCTGATATGAAAATTAACAAATCATTGGTCACAATTTACGTATAAGTTAATAATGAACTTTCTCAAAGGTTATTGTTCCTTTTTAAGTCAAATAGTACAAGTCCCGTATTCTCTTCAAATTGTTTTATGATGAAGTCAGTTGGTTCTAGACTGGAAGAAGAAAACAAAGAACCATGTAATTATGATGCCATTGTTACCTTTCCCATCAGGAGTTCTAAAAATATTATTTTTACGCCCTGGTGTGATACAGATTCTGGAAAATAAGGCAAAATCTAGAATATTTTAAATGTATGAATTTCAATCTACCTCCCACCAATTTTTGATGGAGCAAGTAAATAAGAATATCCCATTTGTTAGTAGCCACAAATACATAATGGTGAATTATGTTATTCTTACCTTGCCTTTATGCTTATATTTAAAGAAAAAGAGAGATTTCTTGTGTGTGATTGATGTTTCCATGTGACAGGTGCTGTGTTTGATACTAGGTATGTAATTGTTAAATTCACACAGCTAAGTATCAAATCTGTGTGTAATTTGTTGGGGATTCCTTCAACAGAGGACACCATGAATGTAGTCATACTGCAAACTGGTTGTCAGTCAAAGCCAGGCGCTCACCTGTTTCCAACAGACAGCATAGGAATTGCAAATGAATGGAGCAGCAGTCTTAACTCCACAAACAGCATTACAAATAGCAGTGTGCAATCTGGAAATGTAAGTGTAAATAATTCTGGAAAAGTTACTGATAATAATCACTGTGCCAATATACAATGTTTATTTTACTTCTTAAACATGTGGGGTTTTTTATAGCTGTGTACTTCAGCAAAAGAGAAAAGAAACCACAGCTATAGTAAATGTCAGGCAGTAATATTTAATTGGTACTGTAAGCCTAAATGGAATGTCTGCCCTCGTCACCATATTTAACTATGTATTATTTGTGTTTTCTGTTCTTGTTTTTTTGTCTTTATATGCAATATTTTGAATTCTACAGTGGGGAACATCATTATTAATCAAATATATAACTACAGGACAGCTTAATTTACATATGTCTCTTTTTTCTGTAGGAAAGGTTTCATTCATGGAAGATCTTGTCTGATCCCAGCCCTCTTCTCTGCCTTAATTTGTTAACATTAAGAATGAAGTGATGTCCTACCTGAATATGCTTTATACTTAAAACTTCTGATGCAGTACATGCAGCGTGTTCGGTAGTAGAGAGCTGGTTGATTACAAGGGTGATAAATGTGGTTTATATTAACGAATTTTGTCAGTTAAGGATGGGGGAGAGGAAGGAGGAAGGTACATTGCAGAGCTTTTATTATCTTCCTTTTAGTGTCAGTTGGAATAGATCCTTTTGTTAGGTTTTGTGTTTGTTGCAGAATAATATATAATGATAGTGAAGTCTCTCTTATTCTCTCCTGACTTGTGTTTTTCTTACCTCATTTGCAGTGCAGAGTCATACGTACAGACTCATTCCCAGAATTTTCACTTGTAGCATTCCAGCACTGTTGACCTATACTGTTTGGTTAGAAACCAGCTAAAAGGACGTATTTTAAATAACGGTTAAAAGGAGTTGCCAATAAATAGCGCAGTTGTTAAAACTTCTGGGTTTCTTTCATGTAGCTTTGTATTGCAGTCCTGTAGATTGAGAACAAAGATACCAATACACCTACATGTTATCTTAGGTTCCCAGTGCAGAAGTCTGCTTCTGTATATGAAGGGTTCTGAGGGAGGGTCTGCCTTTTTATTTTTTGGAAGCTAATTTTGTTGTTGCTAAGATTCTGAAGCTTTCAGGAGAGACCCATAAAAGCATCTCTTCTCCCAGAAATCTCTTAGCCTTTCATGAATTATTTAGGTGCAGCTGAAAACACTAGCTCTTCTTATATGCCTTCCAGCTGTGGGGAATCTTCTTCCGTATACATGCATTTTTCTGTTAGTTATTAGGAGTCTGATGAACATTGTGTACATTTTCCATTCTCTGCTCAGTGACTCTCTGCCTGCTCTAATGTTCAAGTGTGAAAATGGAAAAGTTGACCCTACTCCCTTCCCTGTACTTTCTACTTAAAGTTTTATTGCAAGCAGCCACCTTTTTTCTGATGTTGGCAAAATGTTCTGTCTTTCACTTGGCTACTTACCTGCAGCATTGTTTGATGCACTTACATTATTTCTTTTTCTGAATATTCAGTTCCTGATTTTTCATTAGCAGATTGGTCTGCTGGTTTTCCATGTTTAATTTTTGAGTTTTGTTGCTTGCTTTCTTTCACCTTCCCCATCTGCTGTAAACTGCTTAATTTTAGTTTTTAAGTAGTCCATCTGTTTTCCTCCCTTTCCCTATTTTCCGTATGCCAGCAACTTATTTACATTCATGTTTTGTGTTTTTCTCTCTGTTCCAATACGCTGTCTGCCTTTCTGTCCCCTCCTTCATCTTCATTCTCATCACTGTCAGACACTGGCCCTGAGTAAACTTGATTTTACTGATTTTTATCATGATGAAATTAGACTTTTTATGCCTTTTGTTCTTAGTGTCTTCAAAACAAAAATCTCACTATTCATCTTCCAAAACTTCTTTCACATATCCTCTTGTAGTGTGCTGGGACAGTATCCATTTTATTTGCTTCTAGAGGAAAAGGATTATGTAGTACCTGAGAGACTTAAACTCAGTTCTCTGCTTGATCATAAAATTCCTCTCTGACTGTGAGCAAGTTGCTTAGGTCCCCATTTCTAGAATGTGGCAATACTATTGCTCTGTCTTATAAATGTTATTGGAAGAATGAGTCCATTAAGATTCTGCATGATGCAGGCTGATAGGGAGGGAGGCTGTATAACTGTTTTGAATATACGCCTTCAAGAGGGTCTTCCTTATAATTTCTTCTGTTGCAGTGGTAAATTCCTGTATCTGAACTCCTTGGTTATGGGAAATGATAGACAACGTTTCTTGAATATTTCTGTGCATACAAGTCATAATATTTGATCCATGTTTCAGATACATTGCTTGTGCCATTTAAACTTTGATGCCCTGCTTGGTTAATGAAGTTGGTTATGTTACCATTTCTTCATGTTTACTCATATTTCCACTACTCCTTGCATGTCTGTCCATGAATCTACAGCTATGTAATGTTTCATCATCCAGTGTGCTAGGCACCCCTTTTCCTCAGTCACTTTTGCTATCTACCCCTTTCCTCAGTCACCTTTGGCAAAATACTCTTTCTGGCATGCAGTCCTCTGCATCCCATACGTATGCATCATTCTCAGCCATAAGCTTCTGCCTCCCCTGAATTTCATCCCTTCATTTCAACTGTTCTTATTTATATCCTGCAAATTTATTGCAACTTAACATACCCAAATGGTCTTCTCCTATGTTTTTCTTATAGTGCCATAAGAATTGGATTAACTAGGCTGTCTCAGTGCATGCAACCATAGTCATAATTGCTGCTTTATATGCTTTCTCTAGCTGGTTGATTAGCTTTCCAGTGTTATTATATAAGTACAAAAGGCATATTATTTTGAGCAGATTTTCAGACAAAAAATGTCAAAAATCTTATCACCTCTCCTTAAAACACACTCAGCTCGTACGTTAGGATTGTGCTGCTGATCTTCTCCGTACATCAGGTCTCTTTGTTACTGTTATCTAACTGCAGTATATCACTGAATCGTAGAATGGTTTGGGTTGGAAGGGACCTTAAAGATCATCGAGTTCCAACCCCCCTGCCATGAGCAGGGACACCCTCCACTAGCCCAGGTTGCCCAAAGCCTCATCCAGCCTGGCCTTGAGCCAGGGATGGGCCATCCACAGCTTCTCTGGGCAGCCTGGGCCACTGCCTCACCACCCTCACAGTGAAAAATTTGTTATCTAATTGAAATCTGTCCTCTTTCAGTTTAAAGCCATTACCCCTTGTCCTATCACTACATGCCCTTGTAAAAAGTCCCTCCCCATCTCTCCTGTAGGCCCTCTACAGGTCCTGGAAGGCTGCTCTAAGGTCTCCCCGGAGCCTTCTCTTCTCCAGGCTCAGCAACCCCAACCCTCTCAGCCTGTCTTCATACAAGAGGTGCTCCAACCCTTTGATCGTCTTCGTGACCTCCTCTGGGCATGCTCCAACAGGTCCACGTCCTTCTTATGTTGGGGGCCCCAGAGCTGGATGCGGCACTGCAGGAGGGGGTCTCACAAGAGTGGAGCAGCAGAGGAGAATCCTCTCCCTCAACCTGCTGGTTGCACTTCTTTTGATGCAGTCCAGGATACAGCTGGCTTTCTTGGCTGCCAGCATACATTGCTGGGTTATATTGAGCTTCTCATCAACCAAATCCTTCTCCTCAGGGCTGCTCTCAATCCATTCTCCTCCCAGCCTGTATTTGTGCTTGAGATTGCCCTGACCCACGTGCAGGACCTTGCACTTAGCCTTGTTGAACTTCATGAGGTTTGCACACCTCTCCAACCTGTCCAGGTCCCTCTGGATGGCATCCCTTCCCTCCAGTGTGTTGACAGCACCACACAGCTTGGTGTTGTCGGCAAACTTGTGAGGGTGCACTCGATCCCGCTGTCCGTCTCACTGACAAAGATGTTTAACAGTGCCAGTCCCAATACTGATCCCTGTGGAATGCCACTTAGCATACCCAAGTTAGGTGACGATACAGAGCAAAGGCCTAGCTGTATGATAAAATTTGTCTGTAAATATTGTTCAAGTTTGTGGCACTGCAAAATTAAAAGGAAAACTTGCTGTTTATTCTGGAGATTAAATAGGAGATACATTAAAGATTAATTGCATTTATCAGTGATAGCATATTTATGTTAGCCCTTCTAGGCTTAGAGCAATAAGTTATAGTTTCCTTCTGAAGAGTAAAAGGAGTAGAAATGTTGGCCATGGTGTCATTATGCCTGTTGTCCATCATAATAGAAGACAGAATATTTGCATAGGATGTATGTTGATCACAATAGATGAAGATAGGATAACCAGCATCATCTTTGTTTATCAAGTTTATCAAAGCTGTGTAGGTAGGTACTTGGTCACACATTCCAGTTAGTCCAGAAATCAGTGCTTGTCAGCTCAGTTGCAGTAAAGATTGTGTGCCTTCATGGCTCATCCTGATTGCAGACTCAGTGCTAACGTTCTGCTGCCTTCATTAAACCTCAGGTTGCCTATTTTACTTCATAACTAAGATGGATTGACTGTGCGCGCATGATCAGTTACCACACTCATTTGGTAAATAATTGTTAATTAAGCTGTAATAATGCAACTGAGTTTAATTACATGTACATAATCAAAGTCTGAACAATGGTGATGAATCATGCTTCCTATACTATACAGTATACTATTCCTATATATTCCTATACTATACTGTATACTTCCTATACAGTCATCGAGATCAGCTGCTTAGAG